ACATAACAATACAAGCAACTTTTGCCTTGGAGTCATGTTCAAATTCGCATCCAATCATGAGTTAAAAATCAAAAACCGAAAAAATAATAATTTTATTTTTTTTTCGAAAAAAAAAATTATTTTTCCGGACGACGGGGGTACCGGACGTATGGGGAGACGCCCGGGGGAGACGACCGGCCCCCGGACCATTGGTAACCTAGATCTTAAACCATCAATACCTTTCCCAACTATTTTTCAGAGATGTGGTTTGTCAATGTCCATATCTTTCAGGGTCGGGTCACAGGACCAAAATGGTTGGCGGGGCCAGCCAAAAGCAGGTTCGTGCCGACTCGTATTTTCTTGATGCGTAGGCGGATTTGAGGGTCAGCGTAAATAGTTGGGCGAAGTACTGGTTTAATGAAATTCATATTACCACTGAAAATTATTTACGTCTTTGTTTTGGATGTGTCATTTGTAACTTTGTAAACAAAGTTATGCATCTAAATTGCTTCAAGTTATATAGATAGTTCCCCTAAGCAACAATTTCACAATAAGGAGGCAAGTTTGACTAAGCGGTCGTTTATGTGATTTGTGTTCAATTTTGCAGAGTGAAAAAACATCTCAGCAGCGGGAGGAGCATAATATAGCACGAATCAAAGAGCTTGAGCATGAGATTCTTGAATGCACCACCAAGTATGAGCTTGAGGTGAGAATTTTGTACAAACGTTACATATGCTAAATCTTTCATAATTTTCTCATCAACAGGTTGTCTCAACATTATGTTGCCCATGAGTCACTTTTTTTTCCATAAAAAAATTGAGTCACCATCACCAGTATCCCCCCCAAAGATTCTCTTTTGACTCTTTTTCCCATTGTTTTCCGACTTGTTTGTATACAACCATAATTTTGGGGAGCTTGGTCTCCGGGACATCTTTTTTTTTTTTTTTTTTTCTCCCATAAAAGTTGCGAAGTGGGTGCAACATCCCTAACATTATTTATAGTGACATGTGGAATGAGCAAGGTCTCTGATCGAGCTCTATGCTGGCCACCATCAATAGAACCAAATGATAACAACAATGATTGAAACGACCTTTAAAAAACACAACTTGGAAACCGAAAACAAAAGTCAAAACCAACAAAATTTTTCTTTTATGACCATTTTTCGATTTATGTACGTCGTCATTGTGCAGGGACTATGCTTGCTTGTTTTTTGTTTATACTGAGTGTTACTGACTTTATTATATTGGTTGGAAACTTGGCTTAACATCCCTTTCATCACTCTACACTTCCTCCATTATAGTTGAAGAACCATAAGTCAACGACATTAATTGCTTCATCTCAGTGAATGATTTACTATTGCTCGACCTCCATAAATATGTCATCCTTTCTTGATACTGTCAACCCTCCAAGTTGCCTGAAATTTCTCTATACTTCTTGAACTATATTCTCAATAGTGTAGAGTGAGTTGATGACATTCATTGAAGTATTTACCATTTTTCTTTACACCACCAGTACCTCAAAAAATTGCAGCAGCTAACAAGATGCAACGATAATGAACGGATGAGTCACTATGGGGCGCCCAAATTCATCGGCCTATAAATGTTTCTTCTCTATTTTTCCTACGGCCAATATAGTGGAAAGGTAATGGTGGTTCAATCTGAGGCAGCAGTGCGACCGGTAAAATATTTGATGCCCAACCAATTCAATCATCTGTCGAATTTAACAGGATGAACTTTCAAACCTTCTATAATTATTATAGTCTTACGGTGAACCCCAAGCAACCAGACCCTTGTCCATTCCTCCACTGAGGGGACAATGGGGGTTGCATCCGACCTGCAAGTAGGTGATACCGGCCAAATGTCAGCCTGTAGCATTAGAGACAATGTCTACTCGACCAATCCTTGCACCTCCCATGGGGACTATTCCCCCAACGAATAATAATAATGTCTGCTTAAATCATCAATACAATTCCCAGCTATAGAAGAAATATGCGGCTTGCGTGCAACCGCACCTTTTGGTGCTCCACTGAAGGAACAAAATAGTTGGCAGCGCCAACCAAATCGACATCCACGCTGGTTCTTTTTTTTTTGTGCGGCTCGTTTCTATCACCAAAGAAAAGTGTTTGAGAAATATTGATGGTTTGATGTCGATCGAGGGGGGCAATGAGCTTCCTTTAAATGGAAGGCACCAAATATGAGTAGGTAGGTACATGAGGGAAACATGGTCTCCTTAATGCGACGTGAGTGTCTGACCAACTTTGTTCGACCCATTGACTCTTTGTTGTTGTTGTTGTTGTTGTTGTTATTGTTGTTATTGTTTTTCTTTCTCAAACCACTAGTATCTCTGTCAGTATGAAAACTATGTCAAAACACCCATTTCCAAAGAAGTCGGGGTGGGATCCAAGATCGGAAAATCCCATAAATCTTAAGTGACTGTCGGGGTGGGACCCAAGATCGACAAATCCCATGAATCTTGCTTTTATATTGTCCGTGCATGAATGAAAAGAAAAAAAAAAACGTTTTCTCTATTGCAATGGTGTCGGGAAGGGTAGTTTACAAGATCGTGCTCCCAATCTTCCTCCACATAATAAATCTTACAACTAACACGGTCATATTCTGAATGTTTTTTTATTTTTTTTTTTCCCTCTCTTGTTTTTCTTATACTCTCTTACAAACGAGGCAGGGTGGAATCCGTGATTTGCTCAAACTGTTTCCTCGGAGGATTGTAATGTTGTTCACACTCGCACTAAGAGGAATATATCCAAAAAAAAATTATGGCCGAATTCGTGTTTCTGTTTTTAATTGTCTTCCTGGAATGTGACAGTTTGACATTGGGACCGAGATGTCTTTATTGGTGGATTACTCACACTACCACCTCCAAGAATATACAACTACAATTACAGTCAAATTTTATTATTATTATTATTATTATCATTATTATTTTTAGTTTTATTTTAGTTACATGGCGATAACTTTTGTTTTTTTTCTTTTTCGTTTTTTCGTGAGAGTACTAAAAAGAAAATGGAGTGGGACCCTGACTTGACAAAACTTAGAGCACTGTGAAATTCAAACTCGACAAAAACAAGCTCAAAGGTACTAGTAGTTTAAGGAAAGGGAAACAACCTTTTAATGTTATTTTGTTAGAATATGTACATATATACATATGCACATTTATACATTACATATATATAAATATATATATACATATATATAAATATATATATAGATATCCAAATTCATTATATGTTGGGAAACGGGTTTAACATTCCTTACATCATTGAGTGTAATCATGGATGAGCAAGGCACTCCGCCCAAGCCTAACCATGACCGTAACGTCATAAAAAATATCCAATCAATGTCCAAACACTATTCAATCCAAAAACAATCATGATTTACCAAAATTGAAGTAGGTTATGCTATTGTATACCTATGTGTATTTATTTATTTTTTAACAAAATGCCAAATCTATTAAAAATTGGGAAACGAACTCAATGATCGTACAACAATAGTTGTGCCTCTGGGATGAGCAAGGTTTTCCGCCCGAACTTATACCTGACCACACTTTGAGAACGACGCATTTAAGAGCGCTTACCAAACGTGCACTTTTTCAGTGCATTAATTGTCGAGTCTTCCATAGGAAAAACCCTTATAACAATTATATGTTAAGAACCCTGAAAGTCTACTATGTAAAAACACCACCTTTACACCTTACGTGTAAAATTAGAACAAGAGAAACAATTACTAGATCGACTATAAAAAAACGCTGAAAATTTGAGTTACGGTTGAGAACTTGTCGGTATCTTCAAAGTCAATATTCTCGAAATAATTCCCTACCTTTTATAAAACACCTTCACAGATTTTGCAGACTATTATTTTTGTTGTATGCAAAATGTCCAATCCGTAAAAAAAACTTGCTTCATCGAATATTTGACCTCTGTGCTCATCATCGGTGGTCAGAGTCGCTCTCATCTCTCCCCGACAGATTTTTATTTGTCCATAACGTCCATGAAAAAACACATTTTTTGTATGTCAACGAAAACTCTATTGAAGTCGGCCTTGATGTTGATCTAAACAAAATGAATTTGGTCATCCCATAGTTGCAGTCGGCACTAGGGCAGATGCATCTCTCCACCAATCCCTGAAAAGGCGTGACACCGTGACCTTGCGAAGCGAACAAAAATGTTGCAGGTTTTTCATTTATGTCTCATGGTAGCTTTGACATTCAGATTTAACTTTTGAGGTGCTCAGGCACACCGCACCGTTGTCGAGCACACCGACTCCCACCTTTTTGGAAAAGAGAAGGAACCCTCCGTAGGTGGTTCGTTGCCTTCATTTCAACTAAAGGAGTACCAAACCCGATAGATTGATATGCTAAACTTCCTCCGCGCAGATACAAAATTGAATCCTAGTAAAGCTAAAATTTTGCCATCAAACAATTTTGTCGGCCCTACAATGGTTATAGGTAGGATAATTTATAAAATTTACAAGGTAGGCTTCATTTTGTATTTAGTGTGACAACCTCGTCCTTCAGCATGGCTGTTTCGAGTCGTGCAATCTCTGAATCTGCTTCAAAGTTCAACCTTAAACCTACAGAGCTAATTCTCATTTTAAACTAAGTCGGGACCGATAAATTATAAATTTATATCCACCATCCTTTTAGTTGAGGCATAGACACACATGCTGGTTGTGTCAGCAACTACCACCTCTTCCCTTGCAAAGGGGTGAGTAAGCTCTCTTATGAGAGGTTTTGTCTATCTTAGGATTAAATCACCAGTACACCTGTACCTAAAATCCCGAAGCTACATGCCCACTGTGTGTCGCTATTTTTCGAGCCTTCTGCGTGAGGGTACCTGCAGTGGGAATTTCGGAAGTGGCACCGGTGCTGGCTGTCTACCTTAAGGGAAAAAAAAGAGAAAAGGAAAAAATATGCCAGAGATCAATGATGTCGTGGAGGACGTCACGAAGGCCATACTCAAACGATCACTTTCCAGAAGACATCTGACCACTACTACGGGGAGAGGAAAACATTGTTTTTTTTTTTTTCCTGCTCCTTTTTTTTTTTTCTTTTTTTCCCTGTCAGCAAGGCAACGCATATTCCTCTTGCTCAAAACGCTCTCGCTGAGGGCATAGGGCCTCGTTCCACTACTCGCCATCCGCCACAAATCGTGGCGAGGCGCGATGATGCTCCAAACCAGGAAATTGTGGCGGAAAACGGCTCGTGGTTCCACTTCCTCGCCACCACCACACGAGGTGGGGTTTCGATCCTGGTAGACACAGCGGATTGCGGCGGATGGTGAGGCAGTGGAATGGTGTGGCCGTTTCACCACGTTTAGGAAGTGGGACCAGCCCAGGCCTGGTGGGGTGGTCCGCGACCTCATGGTCCGAGAAGGTTTAAAGGTCCTGGAACCAAAGGAGACTGGGAAAAACTGATATGCACGACAAAAATTCGTCAACACTACCAGACAACAGAGACTGAGCGTCAGGTTGTCGCTGTCAGAGGCGGCCGCCACTCGAGGAGTTCCATGAAGAGGTGCACATACCGCCCTCCACGAAAGTCCGTCGTAGGCAAGGGAAACTAGAGGCTTTGGCGACCGGCCGCCAAATACATCTGTTCGTAAATTGTGACTATTCTCTTTTTATGGAGATTGGCGATGTGATGGAACGAAGGCACGCCCGCCACACGTGGCGGATGGCGAATAGTGGAGCAAGGCCCATACTCACACTAGCCCCGTTGAAATGCATCCAACCACTTTCACGGCCAAAGCTTTGTTGGCTTTTTTTTTTTTCTTCTTTTTTTGTGAGTCTGACAGTCGTGCTCCCCGTGTTCCTCCTTCTGTCGAAGTGCCCTCACTGCGGGCAGTATTCCAAAAAGTGCGTCCAACTGTAATCACGACCAAAGATTGTTTTGTTTTTTGGGGCTTTTTTGTTTTCTGTTCTTCTTTTGTGAGTCTGACAACAGTGCTCCCTGTGTTCCTTTTTTTTTTTTTTTTTTTTTTTTTTAACAACCCTCGTGGATGCTAGGGGTGCTGGTAAGAGCAGGCACCACTAGCATTCCAGGGGGAGGCTCCATCTATTGGTGGGGAGCAGCACCTGCTGGAAAGCGGGTCCAGCGTCCCTGAACATTATAACTGTTTGTTTG